GTTCTGACCTCACTCTCATCTTCCTGTTGGAGCTTCCTCTAAATCTGCAACTTTTAGTTCCTGAGAGAGAACCTTAAGAAACGGACTTTCTCGGGGAACCTGGAACCGCCAAGCCCAGACATGCTGCTGCTGCTGCTTCTGGCCCTGCTCTGGTGGAGGGAGGGGGCTGAGGGCAAGAGGGAGTTGGAGAAGTATTACTGGCTGCAAGTGCAAGAGTCAGTGACGGTGCAGGAGGGTCTGTGTGTGCGGGTGCCCTGCTACTTCTCCTACCCCTGGGATGGCTGGAATGACTTTACCCCAGCTCACGGCTACTGGTTCCGGAAAGGGGCCAGAGTAGGCCAGGATGCTCCTGTGGCCACAAACAACCCATATCGAGAAGTGCAGGAGGAGACCCGGGGCCGACTCCGTCTCCTTGGGGACCCCCGGAGATACAACTGCTCTCTGGACATCAGAGATGCCAGGAGGACAGATGACGGAAAATATTTTTTTCGAGTGGAGAGAGGAAGTGTGATATATTCTTACACAAGTAACCAGCTCTCTGTGAATGTGACGGGTAAGGCGCTGGCTCCAGGAATCGCCACCGGGGAAGGACATGGGGGTCCCAGAGTGGAGCAGAGAGGGGACTTACCATCCTGGGAGGGGTTTGGGGGTAAAACAGGTCAGGGGTCCAATGGAAGAGCTGGACCAAAGCCTGAGGCTTCTCTCAGGGCCGCTCCTCAGACTTTCCCTCCTGATCCCAGTGTCTCCCCATCTCCTCACCAGCCCTGACCCACACACCCGACATCTTCATCCCGGAGACCCTGGAGTCAAGCCGCCCCAGGAACCTGACCTGCTCTGTGCCCTGGGCCTGTGAGCAGGGCACGCCCCCCATCTTCTCCTGGATGTCGGCTGCCCTCACCTCGCCGGGCCCCAGGACCCGCTTCTCCTCGGTGCTCACCCTCACCCCACGGCCCCAAGACCATGGCACCAACCTCACCTGTCAGGTGAAGTTCCCCAGAACCGGTCTAACTGTGGAAAGGACCATCCAGCTCAACGTCACCTGTGAGTGCTGGGCCAGGATGCCCGGATCTTGAGGGCAGTGAGGATGGGGGTGTCAGGGTCTCAGATACTGGTGGTGGGTCCCAGAATCTAGGCTGGGAGGGGGTCAGGAGGATGCCTACATCCACCCTTCCCCCATTTATGCAGCTCCTGGGGACAAGGACCCGTGTCCACCCAGCCCTCACCACTGATGCGGGACCACCTTGTCTTTCTGTGCCAGACTCTCCACAGAACTTGACCGTCACTGTCTTCCAAGGAAACAGCACAGGTAGGAAGGAGCTGTGGGCATCTTTCCACATCGGCCCCGTCACCCCCCTCAGACGTCTCCAACCGCCTTCTCAGCTCCACAAGGAGAACAGGGCAACATTCACACAGCAGAGCGCATCTCTCAAGGCCCCTTGTCACCCATCTCCTGAAGACTCCTCCAGTCTGATCTTTTTATTTTCCCTAACAACTGTTTAAGTATTTTTGAACAGGTAATATATTCACATGGTCTAAAATTCACAATGCACAGCAGAGTCTGTCCTCAGATGCCCAGTTCCCTCCCAGGAAGTGATCAGTGTTCACAGGCTGTTCTGGGCCTTGGTTTCTTCACCTAAAGGATCTTACGGGTCATTTGACGTCAGTAGTACAGACTGTCCCCATTCTTCCCTGTGACTGTGCTGTATTCCACGGCCTGGCTGGATTCTGATTTGTGTGCATCTTCTGTTAATGGAAAATTGCGGCATTTGTTTTATTCTATTAACAGAAACATTGAAATGAATACTCTTGTGTCTCCTTTGACGTGTGTGTGTGTGTCTGTGGGGTAACTTCCTAAAAGCAAAATATGGCTGCTTCCTATGCTCTTTCTAATTTTGAGAGATATGGTCAAGTTGCTCCGCACGGAGGGTGGACAAGTGTACATTCCACAAGTGAGGGGTCAAAGTGTGCATTTCCCTGCACTTCAAATTACGTCTGCGTGTCTGTCCTCCTCATCA